GTGGCCGTCTGCAAGCCCCTGCACTACATGACTATTATGCATCCACAACTCTGCCTGGGCTTGGTGTCAGTGGCCTGGGGCTGTGGGATGGCCAATTCTTTGATCATGTCACCAATGACGTTGTGGCTACCTCGATGTGGGCACAACAAGGTGGACCACTTCCTGTGTGAGATGCCCGTGCTGATCTGGTTGGCCTGCATCAGCATTGCTGCCATGGAGGGCATCGCCTTCATCCTGGCCGTGGGCATCATGCTGTCTCCCCTGGTCTTCATCTTGGTGTCCTACGGCCACATTGTCAGGGCTGTGTTCAGAATCCAGTCATCCTCAGGAAGACACACAATCTTTAATACCTGTGGCTCCCACCTCACCGTGGTCTCCCTGTTCTACGGGAACATCATTTACATGTACATGCAGCCAGGACACAGCTCCTCCCAGGACCAGGGCAAGTTCCTCACCCTCTTCTACAACATTGTCACCCCCCCCCCGAACCCCCTGATCTATACCCTCAGAAACAAGGAGGTAAAGGGGGCACTGAGAAGGCTGCTGCTGGGAAATATAAGTTTAGGAAAGAATTTATAACCAAAGGTAAATTTGGGAACTCCCGCTTATGTTAAGACTTACAAAGCTGGAGGTGTTGAACTATGATTTAGTATCACCAATGTCTGTCAGAATTTCAGCAGAATTCATCACCAGCTTGTCCCCCACATTTAGTTTGCCTGGTGTACAAGTCATGCAGGAGTACATCAGGGCTGACACCCAGAAGCAGGACTTCTCAAGGAAAGGTCTGCTGACCACTGCTGATGCAGATATGGAGAAGGGCTGTGCTGTTCTCATAGCTAGGTGTTTGGAGGAAGCTGTGTTTTCCACGCCAAAAGGGGAAAGGGAGGAGGGAAACAGCTCTACCTTGAATTGCTGTGGGATGTAGAACCATTGACTACAGTGCACTGAGGGTCTCCTCATCCTAATTGCCCACCCTTGCAAACCTTGGTAAGATGCTGTCAACATGCAACAGAGTTTTATTACCCTGTCACTGCCTTTCATTAAGGGAGCAACAACAGCTCCTTTGCTTGGTGCACGTGTCTGTTAGGGCTCGTCACCTGCCATCCACAGTTACAAGGTCACCCTTCTGTTCCAGGCACTTGGCTGAACATCTTTCAGGGCTGGGTCTGAACATCCAATCACACTCCTGCTCTGGGAGGAACAGTGACAATGGATCCGGAGGAGAAAATGGCCACGCAGCCTACATGCTGTCAATAGAATAAAACACCGCCTTGGAGACAGCTGGAGGAGGGAGGCCTCAGGCAGGGTGTCCAGGGATAGTTCTGAAGCCACGTTCTGGCTGCATCTGCGTGATGAACAGGAAGACCCAGGAGGTGACTCTGGCACCAGGGCCAAGTTTGCATTTCCTCAGGCTGGAGTGAGCCTGTCATGCCCCCAGACAGGAAAGCAGAGGGA